CAAAGTGTCTTGCTAGGGTATGTCTTTCTAATTATTGATATCACTTTTGGAGTCATAAATCAATTTGTCTTGTGTTATCATATATGTGCCATTGCTTAATAACCACACTGTTGATCAAGATAAAAACCAAACCATATACTGATAGTTACTGCCAAGGCTGGTGGTAGTACACCAAGAACATCACCTAGCACACCAGTGTCTTAAACTAATATCTTTTTCATCTTCTTAAAAGAAAGGATGAGGAGGATCATCTTATAAAAGTTTTAATTTCATGAAATTTACCTCGAAAATCTTCTCTCCACTTGAGCTTTGTCCATCAAAAAACTGTGGATCATGTTAAAAACAAAGCCAAAAAAATATTCATCTTATGAGTGTAAAAGTATTTATAGTTCAAATTTAGTATTCATAGGTTTGTAAGTAAAAATGTTTACTGTGATAGTGTCGTCGAATTTGTCGTATTCCTCCAGAAGTTCATCATCATCAATAATCTTAAAATCATTGTAGATTTCGACCTGTGACTCAATATTCTCTTTCTTAACAATAACCTTGAACATGAATTTTTTATAAACAATATCGTCCAGTTCAGTTGGATAAGAACAATCAGCATCCGCAATTGAGGTCTACACCAAATTTCAGAGGTTAGAAATATTATAATTGACAACTAAATTAAGTTTAGTATTATACCTCAACTAATCCTTCCTTAAGTTCTTTTGCGGACTTCCCTATAAGCTGCAAAGCATCGCGATTCCAAATCAATAATAAGATAAAAACGGTTCCATCCATAACACGAACTTGAAGCCTATACCTGCAACTCAATTTTGATTAACTTTATGCATATTATAACTGTAAGTAATAGAAGATGCTTCTTCATTGCATTTCTTACAAAAGTATGTAGTACCAACTTTGTCAACCTTTCTAGTACACTTGTTGCATGCCAAGTATGACCATCCCCGGTCAAGTTCCAAATTCACCAATTTTGCCGCAATCCAATAGCTACATTCCTATTTAACATAAAGAAAATATTATTGTAAATGCAAAACATAACGTACATATAATATTATAGTAAATTAAAATCATTTGCATGCACTGAACTAAATAATAATTTTAAACAATACAAAACCTTAGTCATTGTAAATGCAAAACAGAAAACATAAGGTAAATAAAATCGTAACACTAAATTAAACTCACCTCCGTACACTGAACTAAATCCCTAATAGTTTTAAACAGTACAATTCCTTTGTCTAACTCATCTCTAACAGAGTAACTTTGCTGTGAACTTGTCTGAGCGATCCGTTCAAAGTTTCATTGACGTACTGCCAGGAATCTCAATAAGTCGAAAATTGTTATTTGTCAATACTATTTTTATATTTTTTCTACATATAGAAAAGGATTATACACTTGACAAACCTGGATTTAAACTCGGTTGATTGCGGCAGCGTAGGATTAATCCATATCTTTGTCTGATACCAACAGCTACGCACTGAGTAATTACCTGTGTATCAGATTTACTATAATTATAAATCTGAAATTATATAATATTTATAAACTAAAATTGAAAAATA